ATCATGAGAGCAATAAGGTTAATTCTGTAGTGAGGGCAGCCAAGTATTGTCAGGCAGTGAAGGGAAGAAGATGGACAGACCAACAGACACCATTTCTTATCTGATAGAGTCAGTCAGGAGCTGTAAAAAAACATCAGCAGTAGCCAAGCAAAGGGGAAAACAAAGAAAGGCTGTATTTTAAGCTGTTTTCTATGGAAAATATAAACACTAATATTTATTAATAACATGGACCAAAGTAATGGTGCAACTAGTTGAGGTGCAATGGACGAAATGTGTCACAAACCATGCATTGAGGCCAATGAGACTCATAGCCTGCAAAAAATAAACTTCCCCTAAAGAAAGGTGTTTGTCCTGGGACTTGGGGCTGGTCCTGTCACTATCAGAAGGACCCCAGAACAATGAAAGAAATAGTATGAAACTCAAAATATTTTTGAAAGAACAGACTGATGACTTAAATGTTCTTCCTTCTGTTTGGAAGGAAAACACGACTCCTGCAGTTTTCTTGGAACGGGCTGCAGAAAATAATCTGAAGTGCCAAGTGCCTCCGTCCTAAAGCTAGTGACCAGGGCAACATGGCTGGGAGATTTTGTAAAATCCTCATTAACAGAATAAAATAATTTTCTGGGTGTTGGGAACACTGTTCAATGCTGCCATGTTCTTGATCAAATGGGTCGGTTCAGTGGGTCATTAAAATCTTCCTGGTGCTTCTTTGCAAAAGTTGAAGTGTCATCTCTGGCCATCCCCGGCCAATTTCCAACTTATCTATTTGCCTACTAAGTTAGTAAGCTGATGGCAGGTCTCAGTATTTTATCACACGTCTTGTTACATTTGCTGGGTTTTTACCTTGAAAACCCAGCTTTAGGAGTCCTTTGACTATATAAGCATTTAATCTACACTATATTCAAAAACATTATTGTGTTGAAATGCTTGAAAACATGAAGTTTAATAAAGGAAGAAGGAAAGAGACCAAGATCAATCTTTTTGACTTGATTTTTTGTGCTTTGAATTTCAGAATACACTTGAATGGTCATTACCAGGAGATGCTATCATCTCTTACATTTCAATGAATACAACACAGTTCTCTCAACAGCTACTGTGATGAGATGTAAAAGCAGAGGTGTCTCTCTGCTATACAGGAATCTCACTGTACTAATTTTAGGCAAAATGCATAATAATAATAAAGGAACTCAGACTCTTAAAAAATAAATGATGCTTTGGGGCTGAGATTTGTCCCCCAGTTTTGTTCAGATCAGTTAAGCCACCACGCACTACTCGAACTACCACTTTAGGTTTTAAATACCACTGGGCTTAAAACCACTACATGTAAAATCAGGGATCACTGGGGAAACAAGGTCACTTGTGTGGTCACCAAACACGCAGCAAGCCTCAGAACTGTCTAAAAAAATCAACTGGAATCTCAGGGATCACTGGGGAAACAAGGTCACTTGAGTGGTCACTAAACACGCAGCAAGCCGCAGAACTGTCAAAAAAAATCAACTGGAATTTACCTGCTTACCCCCAAAAATGCACACACAGTCCTGCAGGCTCTGAAGACAACGCTGGCTGGCAGTAGGCTCAGCGATCAGGACTTCTCCAGCTCCAGCAAGCTCCTTGCCTGGCTCCTGCCCATTGTCTCTCAAGGTCAGGCTCGGAGTGGCTTTCTGTTGGATTACTCCCAAATTTCTGGCTCAGCACGCAGGCTTGCAAGACCATAGCCCAGCCCCATGCTGGGGAAGTGGCGAAACCCGCCAGCTCCATCCTGTTACACTGCTGTGGGCATCCCTCCAATTAGCGGTCCTCGTTACGCTAAGGGGCATGACGGGGTTTTACATGGTGCGTGAAAGGGACTCTGCTCACCCCTCCTCATCCCGAAGCTGCCTGGGGAACAGTCTTGCTGACGATGTTAATTAGCATCTTTCAACAAAGTTTCGACACCAAGACTTTGCCGTTGTCACCTGTGGGGATGAAACACATTTGGGTGAATTTCACTGAATTTCACTGAATTTTTAGAGTTGGAAGGGACCATAGAGATCATCTAGTCCAACTCCCCTGCTAACGCAGGACCCCCCAGAGCTTGTCAGAGCATGTTACTCAGGACTGCATCCAGGCGGGTCTTGAAAATCTCCAAAGAAGGGGACTGATGGTGCCATTAGGGCAGACTTGCTTACCTAGAGCCCTTGGGGATACTGTGCAGCCTTGTCGGCAGAGACCTCCTAGCAGAGGCAAACCTAGCCCTAAGACAAGCCCTAAACTCCTCCGTGCTGGAGGAAGGGATGTTTTAAAGAGGGTGACATCACTGCTGAGAAAACCCAGGGAAACACCGCGGTACCCATTGTACCCACAGCAGCTGTGTTTTCACATGGCAAATCACAGAAAAATGTCAATTAACATAGATACTCATTTGAAGGTAAATGCTTCCAACAATGATGCAGTAGTTGCTGGCTTAACAGAAAAAAAAAATGCACCATACTACAACCCCAGGGCAACACTGCCTTAGTCCTTAAGACAACTTGGAACAGAAATAAAGATTGCTACTGGGAAAATACCAGTCACCTTTTGCCACTGCCTTTGAAAAGAAGTGGAGTTATATTTTTACACAACTTTTTTTCTAGATGTCAAAAACTTCTGTCACTTGAACTGAGAAAGTGACCTCTTCAGGGAAGATGCTGCACTCAGTTTAACCCTGAGCATTATATTCTTCTGTCAATCACTTCTTCCACCGCTAGAGCAATTATTTTCTACAATAACCTTGCACTTGAGTCAATCCATTCTGTGGGCTTCACCAGATAGCATTTCATCTCAGCAGTTTCTTGAGTCATCCTGATATATTTGGTACCTGTAGGAGGTTTTGTGCTTTGTATTCCCTTGCCCCTGAGGTACAAAGTACCTGAAGTTCTGCAGAGCCCCAGCTCCCACGCAAGGCTTGTTACAAACCCACCTGCTGAACAAAACACACTTTGCCATTACCAGTACAGGGGTGGACTGTAAATAGTCACAAGTTACTGCCCTGGTTTTCTAAATTATCTACATCATGGCTGTCTGATGTAGCCTTACATATGTACTCTTTGCTTCTGTCCCTGCTAGCTGTATTTCACAACAAGCTATCCCAAAAACCTCAGGTGGTTTTAGCCAAGAGGCTGTCAGTGTTAAGGCTCATGAAAGGGCACATTGATTCTAAAGAACTGGCGTTTGCTCCAACACACGGCGTTTAGGACTGCTGACACTTCAAACGTGGAGCTACAAGGAAAATAACACTCAAAAGCAGTGACAGAAAGGACGGATTTTGGCTCCCAGTTTCATGGGAGCTGAGCTGGGACACCAGTCTGCTATGGGAGTGCTTCCACCACAGAAGTCTGGAAGGTGCTGCTCCCTCCTGCCCTGCCCCACTGAAGCTGTGGCTGCTGCAGAGAGCAAGGGGTGTTTGGGCTGGAGCGACTGCAGCGCTTTTGCATCCTCTTGTCCCTGCCACTTCAACCGGGATGAGCAGAGGGGTCTCAGCATTAGCTTGAGGGTTCTGGGGGGGAAGGGAGGTGGGGGAAAGGCTTTGGATGCAGCTCCAAGTACTTTTTTTCACAAGGGGAGAGATGCGTGGGGCAATCGAGGTGGGGACATCCCCTGAAGCAACAATTCAGGCTGGGGAACCGCTGAGGGAGCAGCCCTGGCTGGTGCTGCTTCTGTGTTTTACAGCAAGAGGTAAAGCCAGCCACAGGGGCTTGTCCCACCCCTACAATGAGCTCTGCCTGAAATAGCATTGACGAGCTCCACATCTCATCTCAGGGAGCTGCCACACCACTGCACAGCTCCCTCACCACACACATGTGTGTGTATGTCTATATACACATATGTATTCAATAGACATATTTATACACAATTGCGATCTATGCAGTATACACAGTGTGTGTGTGTATATATTCAAGTTTCAGCTGCAACCATTCTGGAAACAATCCTTGGATCAGGGAGCCGAGGGCCCAGCCGCTTGCCAGGCTTCTCACCAGTAGGTTACAGAGCAAGCCCAGTTCTCCCTCACTCCCCCGAAGTCCCCCCATGCTCCTGGCCGTGCCCTGGCACAGCTCTGGCAGGAGGTGAGACACCCACAGCACTCTCCCGAGTGCCATAGCTCTCTGCTGAGAGGGAAGAGGGAGGTTTGTGTCCCAGGATGGGCAAAGATTTCACCCGGCTTCGCTTGGGGTGCTCCTGGCATTTGCAGGGGAAGGAGCTAAGAGAAGCTGCATTCACTGAGGGGACCTGAAGCTGAATTAGGAAAAGGCGGCGTAAGTTTAGGCACCATTACAGCTGTGATCCTGCTGAGCAAGGATTTTTAATTTGTGAGTTTGGCTTTTGGTCCCTCTGCTCTTACTATGAGCTAAACCTGTCTAAAAGTAGGAAAAGTAATCCAAATTATTTTTTAATGCCGATCAGTTTAAACACATTACGGTTTCCTGTGGACTCGGGGGGTGGGAGGAAGGGAGAGAGAAAAAAACCCCTGAACTAAGTCATCTTTAGTTGATTCCGATTTGCTTTTTCCACCAAGGCAATCTCTCCATTTCCATCTGCTGTTACAGGCAACAGACAAACTGGCTTTATAGGTAGAGAAATCTTAAATGACAGTCTACAGTTGTTTTATTTTTTAATTGCCCTGTAAGAAAAGCCCGTCTGAGTTGCTGAAAGGTCTTTGGTGCATTTGATTATGTGTAACCATTAGGAAAAAAAAAAGAAGAAGAAAAAAAAAAAAGAGCTGGGACCTGCCCCACTGTGCCACGCCAAACACGGGGGTGGACGCCTTGTCCTGCCGACAAAGCGCCTCAATCCACGTTCAAGCCCACGGAAGCCCACGGAAGGCTGCTCCCAGACCTGCCCTCGCTCCCCGGGCGCCTCCCCGCCCCTCACCGCGGCATCGGGCCGGAGCGGGGCGCGGCGTGGGGCGGGCGTTCGCTCCCCTTCCCTCCGCTCCGGCTCCGGCTCCGTCTTTATCTCCATCCTCTCCGTCTCCTCCTGCCCAGGTGGGTCTCCGTGCCGTCGCCATGCCGCCGCCGTGTCCCCGCGGGGCCCTGCCCGGCGCCGCCTTCCTCCTCCTCCTCCTCCTCCTCCTCCTCCCGCTGCTCTGCGCGGCCCCCGGTGAGTGAGCGACCGCGACCGGGACAGGGGACAGGGTGCGGGGAGGGAAAACCTCACCCCGAGGAGCGGGAAAAAGCCTTTCCCTGGCATCACGCGTGGCCGCGGACAGATCTTTCCCTTGGCATCCCGCGTGGGGGAACGTTTTTGGTCACTTGTGCAAGTTGAGCATCTTTCTTTTCTTTTGGAATGGGCTGCCCAGGGAGGTGGTTGAGGCACCATCCCTGGAGGTGTTCAAAAGACAGGTTGATGTAGTGCTGGGAGGTATGGTTTAGTGATGGTGATGCTTCTTGTTTGTTGTGCGGGTGTCTATTTTTGTCAGTTAGGTTGACGGTTGGACAAGATGATCTTTAAGGTCCCTTCCAACCTAGAAGATTCTGTGATTCTTAAAAAGTTTGCTTTCCAGCAAATAAAGCATTTTGGAATAGCCAAGCACTTGCAGGTCTCCTGTTGTGCTGCTCAGCCATGGGCTGAAGCCTTGGATCCCTTCTGGGAATGGGCTTCAGCAGGAGGACAGCCTCGACAGGCTTTGGGACGGGCTGGAGGATAAAACTGGAAGCAGTTGGTTGTTAACATGCCCCTCACTCAGGGTTTTCCAGGGTTATTGTGCCACCCTGGCTGCTGTGTCACAGGACTGGCACCAGCTGCAGTCTTCTGCTGCAAAATATTATAATTTAATTAGCAAAGGCGGCCAGTTTTGGGGTTCCCTTGCCAAGGAGGGCTGGGGAGAGGATGCTGGAGTGTCAAAAGTTTCCCTGCGGTGTGTGTTGCACTGGAGTGTGGAAACAGGAGCAAAGGGAGAAGGGGGGCACCGGTAGAAACTCGCTGCAGAGTTTGGCCTGGTGTTCCTGGAGCTCTGACAAAAGTCCTTTCAGTATTTTTCAAGATACGGTGGGGTTTTTGCTGTGGTTATTTTCTTCTTAGTAAACGCAGATATTTTATTTTTGCTTCTCTAGATGTCTCAAGGGGAAATAAGCTTAAACTCATGCTTCAGAAACGAGAAGGTAAGTAGAGAGACAGCAGAGTGCCTTCCCCTTGTTGTTTTTTTCCTTGGAGTCAGCCAAAGCTGCCGATGTGCTGTCCCTGTGTCTCCAGCCCAGCAGTGCAGCAGCACCCTGCCCAAAGCTGGTACCGACAGCCGCTCTCACTCCATACCCTACCAAAACCTCCTGTGCATACGGACCTTGCATCTCCACGTCCAGTTGGGACTTGGTACTGGCAAGGCTGGAGGTTCTCCTTGTCACAGCCCCCTCTACAAGCCAGGGTTCCCAGCCTCAGGCCATACCCTGCGTTTTGCCGCGAGCAGCCTAGAGCACCTACCTTTCCCAGTGCACACATGGCTAGACGTGGCATTTATCTGGTTTATTCTGGGAAGTCACAAGCTTTTCCAAGGGGTTATAACGCAGGGAAATACTGCTGGCTCAGGTGCAGAGGAGAAAAATGTGCAAACTGGGCTCGCTCGCAATGCCTTGACTTGTTCCCTTTGTCCTCTTGGCCCTCTGTGTGCTTCCTCCTTGGAAGACTGCTCTGTCTCCACGGGAGAGGTGATGGCTGAGGGCCCAGCAGGCAGATGCACAGACCGGCTCGCTGGTTGAGGGAAGGGGATGGAAATGGAGTTGGCCAGGGACAAGCAGCACTGCAGCGGATGAGGGGCAGGCTGAAACACCCCAGAAGTTTTGGTTGCCTCCCCTCAGCCTGCTCTGTGGCTGAGGGAAAGAATTTTACACCCTTCCCAGAGGGGACTCCCTCTTTCTGCAAGCCTGACTGATTTCTCACTGGGTTTTTCCTGCCATCACCCACCACCTCTCACCTGCCCTAAAATGTGGGGTCCATTCACAGCTGTTTGCCTTGTGTATGGATTCCCTACCTCACTGTTCTGCAGTGCTTGCACACACATAGGACTGACAGCCATCCTCCCAGGGCCACAGCAGCGGTTGGCTGGTTTGTTGAGGTCCCCTGATGAGAGGGACCACCCCAGGGGAGGCTTCTTGGGCGTGCAGACAACGTGGCTGAGCCCATAACTGTAGAGCCTTGAATCAATGATGCAGGGAATAGGCATCCCCTTAATTCCAGCCTCGATCCTGCACTGAAGTGAGCAGGCTGAGTACACAGCACTGATTCCCTCGCTGGCAGTGTCCCTTGTGCCAGGCTCATTCACGTGACACTTGCTCAGCTGTCCCACTTCCCAGTGATAACACCCATCCCAAGCACACAGTGAGTTATCACCTTCCAGCGCATCCCCACAGGGCACCCTGCTGTTTCCCACTCTTCCTGTGACAACTCAGCTTTTTTTTTTACCTCTCGAATCTCCTTCCCACCGCAGTCCTTTGCCTCCTCCTGAGACTCTGTCCAGCTCTTGCTTCGATGGCTTTCATACCTCCACCTGACTCCCTCTTCTGCCCCAGCCTCTTCCCTTGCATCCTCTGAAAATCCCCATCCACGCCCATATCCCTGGTCTCTCCCTCATTGCTATGGACCCTCTGAAGCCAAGACGTTCCTCCTACTCCCACACACGCTTCTTGTTTCACGGGAAGACCATACATCATACCACACTTTATCATTTCTGTGTGTGACATGGGGCGAGCCCTCATCCTTTGGGAGGGACGTCAGCTCCTGCAGCAGCCACAGCAAACTGCCTGCCCTGGGGCCATGGGGCAAGCCAGGTGGTGTGTCTGGGCTGGGGGCATTCCCACATGGTCTGCTACGAAACCCTTATTTTCAGGCATACAGGACATTTAGTAGCACTCATTATTTAAAAGTTACAGTTTTACACAACAGATTTTAAAAAAAAAAAGTGTGAGACCCCACCTGGAGTACTGTGTCCAGCTTTGGAGTCCTCAACACAGAAAGGACATGGATCTGCTGGAACAGGTGCCGCAGAGGGCCATGAAGATGATCAGAGGGATGGAGCACCTCTCCTATGAAGACAGGCTGGGGGAGCTGGGATTGTTCAGCCTGGAGAAGAGAAGGCTCCAGGGAGACCTTATAGCGGCCTTTTAATATCTGAAGGGAGCCTACAGGAGAGATGGAGAGGGACTCTTTGCCAGGAAGGGTAATGATAGGACAAGGGGGAACGGTTTTAAACTGGAAGAAAAAAGATTCAGATTAGATCTCAGGAAGGAATTTTTTACTATGAGGGTGGTGAGACACTGGAACAGGTTGCCCAGGGAAGTTGTGGGTGCCCCATCCCTGGAAGTGTTCAAGGCCAGGCTGGATGGGGCTTTGAGCAACCTGCTCTAGTGGGAGGTGTCCCTGCCCATGGCAGGGGGGTTGGAACTCCATGATCCTTGAGGTCCCTTCCAACCCAAACCATTCTGTGATTCTATGATTCTATGTGTGCCCCCCTTCACTCTAATAAGTTCACAGTGTTTCTCCAGCTTCTCCGGGCTCTTTAACTTCACCTCTCATCCTCTTTCTCATTACTGTAACAGCAACACGCAGAGGCCAGTCTCCTGCTCTCTCCTCAAAGCGCATCACAGCGTTTGCTCTCTCAGTTTGGGTTTGCTTATTTAAATTCCTTACTTAACTCGCGTCTTTGAGCTCAGAACAGCTTTTATCAAAGCCAGGAGAATGAGGGTGGCTGAGAAATCCTATTACATTGATGATTTCTGGGTTTATTACTGTTACTGCTGCGACAGGCATCGTGCCGCCCAGCACAAAGGTGATGGCACGATGCAAGAAGCCTTTTCTTAATGTGCTGCGAGCAGCACGCTTTCGGGCTGACTAAAAATTTCCTGGCATGCCTTTTTGGGGGCGGGGTGGGAATTAATTTCAGCCCCTGTTGCCACGAAGCCTGAGGTGTCGGTGAGAGAAGCGGCGGCCAAGGAGTTCCTAAGCAGCCTGAGACGGCAGAGGCGCCAGCTGTGGGACCGAAGCCAGCCCGACGTGCAGCAGTGGTACCAGCAGTTCCTCTACCTGGGATTCGATGAGGCGGTGAGTGCCAGGCTTTTGGGGGTGGGTAGGGCTTCAGAGGGGGGGATGCACACCCACAGGGGCACCCAGGGGGAAGCTGCCCCCCTTTCTGTCCAAAGACGCTGTGATTTTATTTCTTTTTTTTTTTAAATTTGCAAATATTGCACAGAAACACAAGCTCCATATTTGTTAGAGATTGCCACATTATTTTGTTAGTAGAGAAAAATGACATTAAAATCTGGCATGGAGTTCTTGCCCGCTACTGAACTTAAGCTGAACAAATTGCAACCGGGCAAAGTTGGCTTTGAGAAAAAGGTGGCCAGACCCTAAGGAATCAATTGTATTTTCAGGAAATTAAATTGGCAGCCTCAACCTAATCAATTTGCTTTTTTTCACGCTGAGAAATCCACACCAAGCTGGGCGTGACTGCCATTCCTCAATGAAATCTCACCAACATTACGTGCCCAACGCCTGCGTGTGCCTCCGTGGTGCAGGCGGCTCCTGTGCCCCAACTCCAAGTGTGAAAGGAAAACTGATAATGTGCAGCCAACTCCCCCTTCAAATACATTTTTTTGTATACATGGATACATAAAGTCTACATTACTTTTTAAAAAAACAGTTAATTTGCAGAAACACTGGGAGTGGAATCAAGAGTTCTGATTCCACAGTCAGAATTGTGGCTCCGCACAAAGCTCTGTATCTATAGGTGCTGAGAGAGGGTGAAAAATGTGCATTTAGTTGCAGTCCCACATGTAGAGTACTTTCTACTTTAATAAGAGGTAAAAATAGTTATAGATGTTGAATTCTTGGCTTCTGTCAGCTGCATGAATATGTTTAATGAGACTGCATTGGCACCGGCGAGCTGGAGCACATTTTGGACCCTCACGCTATGTGAATTGCTTAGAAGATGAATGCACTCATTTTCAAAGCTGGAACAATTAGAAAAATAATCCTTTGCTTGGACTGGAATAGTGAAGGATACTTTTTTTTTTTTATCCTCCTGGACATTATGCAGATAAAAGTGATTTTTTAACAGCATGGCTATATATACCCCTACCCCAATAGAAACAGGAAAAATAGGGTTTATGCATCAGAAACTGAAGACTGGGGTAAATATCAAGAAGTAAGTAATAAGGACAAACCATGCAGATAAGAAGAATTCTCCTCTGAGTTCCTGTGTGCATTTCAAAAATTGAAATGAGGACTGTTGTGGGATACAATGCATCCACTAAGTAGGTTTTCTTGAGTATTAAGACACAGTTTTAACAATGAAATAACTGTTTGCTCCAGCAAAGGACTTGGGCCATACTTACCCATTGTGTATTTTGCAAAACTTTTTTTTCAAATCTCAGCCAAAAATATTTCCAAAGAGTCATTCAGATGGAAAGGCTTTGGCTTGGCAAGTATTTGATATCCTTGCACACTGTTTTTCCCCTGCTGCTGTGAGCAGAATTGAACTGCTTATTGCATTTCCATAGCTAGAAGGCTGCACTGTACATTCATTTTCACCCAGGCAAAATGGGAGTGAAAGATCACCGGCATAAAGCGAAAGCCTGTTGCACCCACTTCGCAGTCAGGAACATTGTGACTAAAGGCACGGGGCATCAGAGAACCAAACCTTCAGATTTTTAAGTGGAAAACATTAAAATGCTTTTATAATCCACCACTGAAGAGGTAATATAAATATGAAAGGTGCTTGGTGCAGGTTGCAGTTGAAGGCGCCCTCAGTTAAAGCACTTTACGGAGTGGGCAGAGGGTGTGGGAGTCAGTCCCAGGTGGGGTTGGGCAGGACAAGTCCTGCACTTGGGACCCTGGCTAATCCCATAGAGAAGGTAGGTACAAGTCACAAAAGATCTAGAGATTGAGTTTTTATAAATGCGCAAAGGATGTTTTTATAAATGCGAAAAGAATTCCTGAAAGAGACAAAAAGGAACCTCTTGCATCACTTCTGTTTCACTCCCTTCATTGTAAAGCTTCAGGCTTAGAAAGCAAATGTTTTGTTGTTGTTTTTTTTTTTTGGCAGAAATTTGAAGACGACATGTCCTACTGGACAAACTTAGGGCGTGCTCGAAATGAATACTATGGTGGATACTACCAACACCACTACGATGAAGATGCACCAATCGGCCCACGAAACCCACACACCTTCAGGCATGGGGCAAGTGTCAACTACGACGATTACTAATGCCATGTGTCCTACTGGAGCTGATGCCTATAGGGATGCACCGGCTGAGGCAGAGTCCTCCCCAGTCAGAATGACCCCGCTTTCCTCCTATTCATGTATAACAGGAAGAGTAAAGTAACTGCCAGACTTCAAAGAAAGCAACGTGACTTTTTTTTTTTTAGCTATCATTACTTAGTAGTACATTACATATAAAGTGTTATAGAAATAAAGCTTTTTTGATAAAATAAACAGGTTGCCATTATTTAGTAACGCAACTGCAAGTTTCATTCCAATCGTATTACTCCAGATTCCTTTTTAAAAGGGCTTTTTCATTTGCTTTCCTGCAGTCAATTGCAAAATTACATTGTATCATCCAGTTTGGCATATAGAATGCATACTATAAGCCAATACATTTCAGATGTGCCCGCTCATTCAGATTTGTGTCAACAAATAACTCCAGTTATTCTCGAGGGGGAAGAAAAAAAAACATTCTGCTCAACTGAAGTGTTTCCTTGCTGCCTCCTCTGCTGTTTCCATACCTACCGTGCACAGCCCTCCCAACTCGCCTGACACGGCACCTTCAACAGCTCCTTCTGGAGCAAGGGCACGGATGATTCACAAAAGCTACATTCAGCCCAGAGGAGCTCGCCTACCTGTGAAAGGAAAGGATTCTCCAGGGAAAGAGCTCAAAGCTGGAACCTGACTTCAGAAGTAATTGCTGAGATGCAGAACATCTAACCCGAGCGGCCCCAGCCCCTCCCAGGCACAATAACCCAAAGGTTACCTTTGATGAGTACTCCCCTTTGAGTCCTTTCCACTTAGCTGCAAGCTTTCGGTCTAGCTTGAAACAGGGAAGAAAATAACAAAGTAAGCCATTTAGAAAGAAATTAGCATCACGTAGCATCCAACACAGTCCCCAGACATCATCTCCTACCGTGAAGTTGCGTCGTGCCTAGACACACGAGCATCAAAATTTATTGGAGACTGGGCATTTGTTAATGAAGCATAATGGGTTAAAGGGGGGTTGCTTAGTGGGGTTGTGTGTGTTAAGAACCTAGAAATACGACCAATATTGCTACCACAACATCAGCTACGTGACTGCTTCTCTCTTGCTACCGTAGAGAAAGTCCTGATGCAGACAGAAGCCTAGGAGATTTCAGCTGTCAGGGGCTTCAGGAGGAGCCTGGTTGGGGGAAAGCGCTGCTGGAGCTTGACAAGCGTAGAGGATTGGGAAGGGGCAGGTGAGGAAGGCTGGCTGTCTCCATGACTTCAGGAGCTGAAGAATCAGGATAAAGAGAGATGAAACGTGTGCTGCAAACTGTAGCAGTCAGAGAAGACAGCACGGATGCTTTAGCTGTCTGTCACCCACAGCTTACAACAAATTTCCAAAGCATGGATCAGGGTAACACCATTTTTTACACTTCACTTACACGCAGAGTTAAGAAAGAAGTATTTCCTAATCTCTCACTTCAAGCCCGCCGTTGCGTGAGGGCCTGGTGCCCAGGAGAGGCAGCTGAGGACTATCCCGCTCCCTGCAGGAACGCTTCCAGGGACACAGCTTTTTGCTGAGGGAGCCAAATCCAACAAACATCTTAGTCACCTCTCCTCTGCACGCACAGTTACACGCTGGCCTAGTAGGCTCCAAAAACTCAGCTTTCCCCTAGGCTTTGGAGCGCTCGCTCTTCAAATCCTTGCCAGTTTAATTGGTTTAAACTGGTGTGTTTCCTCATTAGAAGACCCTTTATTCCCCAAGCGGAATAATCATATTCTGAGTCAAGCACACACTCTTTGCACAGTTGGAAAACACCTATTCCTAGAAGAATACTTCCATTTTGCGTCCTATCAAAAACGTGCTCAGAATTTGGCAACATTTGAACCGCGCTGATAATTTCCATCATTTCCCAGAATTTACAACAACTGGGAATTCAGACCTGCTGAATAAGGAAGAATTAAAAAAAAGTGCTGTAAATAAATACCATCCCTCCCTGGGCCTTTGTGAGCCATGTCCATTCCTGCAGGCTGACTCAGCCCAGCAGCAATCTGTGCCTTGCAGGCTCACAACAAAGTCTACGCTCTCTCTCTTGTGGATTCTCTAAGATAAAAATAATTTAAAAAAACCCAACAAATTAAATCTTTTCTGTTATACTGTGCTGCATGCTGAAGTTTTCCATCGTGTACTGGGGGCTGGCTGGGATAGAGTTAATTTTCTTCATAACAACAAGTATGGTGCTGTGCTTTAGATTTGTGACTAAAACAGTGTCCATAACATCCCCGTGTCTTCACTGTCGCAGAACAGTGCTTGCACATCATCAAGGGCTTCTCTGTTGTTGCCCACACTACCCCAACAGCAGGTAGGCTGGGGGCAGGCAAGAACTTGGGAGGGGACACAGGTGGGACAGCTCACCTCAACTTACCAATATTCCATACCGTATAACGACTGGCTTAGCAATAAAAGCTGAGAGGAACAAGGGGGTGAGGGTTTTGTCTCCCAGGGTAGCCATTGCTCAGCAACTGGTGGGGCATCAGTCTTGCTTAGGGGAGACAGTGAGTAGCCTTTGCATCTCCTGGGGCTTTTTCCTTCACTTTTTAAAGTGCTCTTACCTCGGCCCTCAAGGTTTGCTCATTTTTACTTCTCTTATTCTCTGCCCTGTGTTGTTGGGGCAGGGGGAGTGAATGGCTGTGAGGGTACTTAGCTGCCAGCTGGGGCCAACCCCACCACAAGGCATTGGAATGGGCTGCCCAGGGAAGTGGTGGAATTGCCATCCCTGGATATATTTGAAAGACAGGTAGACGTGGGTGCTGAGGGACATGGCTTAATGGTGGTTTTGGCAGTGTTGGGTTAATGGTTGGACTAGATGAGCTTAAAGGTCCCTTCAAACCTAGATGATTCTGTGATTCTAAGGCAATAGCTCTAAGGGGAGGGCACCCTCCTTCTTGCAGAGAGGTCCCCCTGACTTGAAGTGCAACAGTTGCAAGAATGCAAAAATACAAGCAAGAAGGTACAAACCAAGCAGATATGAACCATCACACATTTGGACAAAAGGAAGACAACTATTAGAAAAAAATAGTTGGTCAAATATGCACAGAGTTAGTTAAACTTCAAGCCAACTACATTAACAAAGCTAATTTCCTTTGACTACTTTTGTCCCAAAACAGACAAAACTGTGCACACACCCCACCACCCCCACCCCCCAAAGCCCTTCCATTCTGCTGCGCAGACAGCACAGAGCGCTTCACATCATCATCATCATCCCCAGCCACCCCGGCATTGACATCATGTAACCTCTCCACCAAGAGAGAAGAGCAGCCATTGTTCATTGTGGCTCCCTGCAGAACAGCAACAGCTTGGCCGTGGTCCAGCACTTCATCTTTCGAGACCCGATGCTGCCACAAACAGCCCCTGGCTCGCGGGTGTCAGCCAGGCCAGTCCGTCGCTGAGAATACCTCTTGGGGTGGGATGAAGCCCAGATTGTGGTACTTAAGGCCACCCCACAGATCCCTGTGGCTTCATGTTTTGGACCTTCCAGCTGCTTCAGCCACAGCATTCAGAGGATCCCCCTCCTTGCTGAAGAGTGTGTCAGAAACTTGGCAAAATATTGCAAGAATGAACCGGTTGCTGTTTGTTCCAGGCTGTCCACCAACAAGGTGGACAAAAAGTTGTTGCCACATTCACTGTCAAAGAGTAAGCGAGTGAAGGAAATGGTCTGGTTTTTTTGCAAGAAATATAAATTGCTATTTTAGAAAAACACCTCCCTGTTGATACGGAATCGCGTTCAGGAACGTTCTGCCATATAGAAGGAGCCCTCCCTTTCTCCAGAGCTATCACTGCTGTTCCTGGCTGCTCCGGGGAGTCAGAGCTGCAAAGAAGGCATTCCTGTCTCCTACAGCTTGTGATCCAAGCACAGGGACACATTCACAACTACGGATTCGTGGTGGCCACATTGCCACCGATTTCAGGGGGAGGACATATGGATGTTAGGGCTAGCAATGTTGAGTACAGACTTCCCTTGCTATTAACAAAAGCATTTTCTTTCTGTGGACAGGTCCTCTCTGATTAACCTCTAGCAACCTTCAAGGACCTTCTTGGCCTCCAGTTGCATTAAACTCAATACTAATAAAAGCCTGGGGACTGGCTCAATCCATCACACTAATCAAAGCTCTGTTTTGCCCTCTGTAGCCTGTTCTCCAAGGCTAATGAATTTATGCAATTGTGTTTGTCTTCCTCCTCCTCCCTTGCCTCTTTCTCTCAACTTTGAAACTGAATTCCAGCCCCACCTGACAGAAGTGAAAGCTTTTTTTTCAAACACATTACATTTCTAAAAGTTTCTTGAAAAGAAAGAGATGACAAAGCCATTCACAAATGCCCAGAGGGTGAAGAGCTCACTGGCTACTGAATCTGCCAGAGTCTATCTAGGTTAAGAAAAGCTGCAAACACTGTAGACACAGGAAGGCTGTCAGATCATAATTTCCCCACGTTGCAAAAAACCTAACCTAAAGATAGACATGAACTTAAAATAAATCAGGTCTGTGAGTCTCTCTGTAGCTCGTCTGTAGATCAGCAATGTGGTTTACAAAGCTTCTGAACAGCCTACATACAGAAATAAAGCAAAAATACATAACGTTTAGAAAATAATAATAAATGCAACTGTGGACCTCACACTGTGACAACTTCCAGCAGCAAGAGTGGTCCTCCTTGTGAGGTTCAAGGAATCCACAGCAATGGATGCCCTGCACACCTCTCCTTCTAGAAAGCTGACCTCACTCTCCTGTACCAAGACGACCAGTTCCCCACAGCCAGCCTTCTGCCACGTTGCATATTCCCTACTGAGAGAGGAGGACTTGCACCTAGTGCTGGCTGAGCTGCCCATTTGTGCAGATCACTGGGACTAAACAGCAAAGGTCATGTCGGTTTTACCTTGTCTGCCTGACCAGGTGACAGGAGAAAACCCCAATTCTTAAATTTCCTAAAAAAAAGAATAATTAAAAATTAATACAATATGTTGTGTTTGGGCATGGAAAGGAGAACATTGCTTGGCTTCATTTACTCCAGAGTCCTACATTTCCAAGCTTTAAGTGATGTATTCCACCACTCACCATCAAAAGTGGCTCTCCTGGAGAGGCAGCAGATGTTTCTCACCTGTGGTTCCCCTCAAACTTGATGCCTTCTTTCACCTTCTGAGATGTGTAACCCCAGCTGGGGTGTAACACGCAAACCCTCATCTGCTCTCTTGAAGTCTCAGTTCAGTCCA